TTCTCTTTCCCTCAGCCCTGCATACTTTTTTTTTTTAATTTTTTAAAAGATTTTATTTATTCATTCATGAGAGACAGACAGAGAGAGAGAGAGAGGCAGAGACACATGCAGAGGGAGAAGCAGGCTCCACGCAGGAGGGACTTGATCCAGGGACTCCAGGACCACGCCCTGGGCCAAAGGCAGGCGAGAAACCGCTGAGCCACCCAGAGATCCCCCCTGCATACTTATAAAGACTGAGTTTGAGTGCCTTGTCCCCTAAGGAGCCTCCCCCCACCTTAAAAAAAAGATTTTATTTATTTATTCATGAGACACACACACACACACACAGAGGCAGAGACATAGGCAGAAAGAGAAGCAGGCTCCATGCGGAGAGCCCGATGGGGACTCGATCCGGGGACTCCAGGATCACGCCCGGGGCTGAAGGCAGACCATCAACTGCTGGAACCCCCCAGGCGTCCCCCCTAAGAAGCCCCTTGCTCCATATCCCAAAGTGAATACACACCTCTGTCAGCACAAATTGCCCTTGCAACCAGTGCTTTGTCTCTATCTCCTGCACTATATACTACCCAATCTTTGCCACCACATAGGACACCCACTTTAACTTCGAAACTAATGCATACTGGGACACCTGTAATGCGTACAGAGACCCTGCCTGTGTCTCTGCCTCTTTCTCGGTATCTCTCATGAATAAATAAAATATTAAAAAAAAAAAAAACCAAAAAACTAATGCATACAGTTGGTGCAGAAAAAGGAGCTTGGACATGGGAGTCAGGCAGCCCCGATTTGTTTATCTCAGCCTTGCTGCTTATCAACTTTGGCCAAATTCCTTAACCTCTCTGGTTCTCAGTTTCCTGATCTATAAATTGAGACTAATAATTCCTACTTTGTGAGATTGCTATAGGGATTAGAAATATTTGGGATGAATCGAAAGATGAATGGATAAAGAAGATGTGGTTTATGTATACAATGGAATATTACTCAGCCATTAGAAACGACAAATACCCACCATTTGCTTCAACGTGGATGGAACTGGAGGGTATTATGCTGAGTGAAGTAAGTCAATCGGAGAAGGACAAACAGTGTATGTTCTCATTCATTTGGGGAATATGAATAATAGTGAAAGGGAATATAAGGGAAGGGAGAAGAAATGTGTGGGAAATATCAGAAAGAGAGACAGAACATAAAGACTTCTAACTCTGGGAAATGAACTAGGGGTGGTGGAAGGGGAGGAGGGCGGGGGGTGGGGGTGAATGGGTGACGGGCACGGAGGGGGACACTTGACGGGATGAGCACTGGGTGTTATTCTGTATGTTGGTAAATTGAACACCAATAAAAATTAATTTATTAAAAAAATAAAAAAAAAACCTGATCCATCTGCGGGGCTAAGGATGTCTGTTTTCATAAAGAGTGCCCCATTTTTCTCAATTTACATTGTGGTTTTAGCCTTCTCTACTCAACTCTGAGTACAGCGTGAAGCAGACTATTTTGTGAATCCATCCCCACGCCAAAACTCCTAAAAGCCATACGAGAACAATAAAGGCAACAAAAATCTAAATCCACACTGTATAATTAAAAATATATTTTTCAGTAACAAAAAAAAAAAAAAAAAGAAAGAAATATTTGGGATGAAATACCTAGCACAGTGGCTGGTGCCTAGCAGGTACTTAATCACTGGCAGTTCCCAGCCCCAATAAATAAATCAGGACGAACACAGCAGAGTCAAGAAACAACCCATCTAACATATGCCTGGGTAAAACAAAGTGAAAGCAGGGGAAGGAAGGAAAGAGTACGTATGTACAGCGCCCAGGCAATTAGGACAGTGCTGGAGGCACTTTTGATTTCTCCCCTCTAAACCCCTGACAACGTTCAGTGGAGGACTTAATCATCAGCTGGCAGAAGTGTGCAAATGATAGGCAGTTCTGTGTATGGCATAATGAATATGATATAAGATCATCTTAGCTAATTACTGTTTACTGGCAAATGTCATACAACTGGCTCCTTAAGTGTACGTGTGTATGTGTGTGAGGCTTAGTTTGGTTTTGTTTTTGCATGTGTGAATGTCAGGGGGTGGGCAAGTGTGTATACAGACCTACGCCGTGGGAGCCCCACAGACAGTGGCTCAGCAGATGGTCAAGATGGCAGGACCCCACGTAGCTGTACTAGTCAGTGCATCCTGGCATCCTGGTTATAGTTAGTCTTTCTCTCTGAACTGCAAGCTCCTGGAGGCCGGGGCCTATGTCACTAACGTCTGCTTTCCCTGCACATGGTATATAGTACTGGTATCTAGCAGGTGTTCAAGAAATATTTGTCAAGTAGAGAAATGGATAAAGTGGGTGTTGGCCCTCTGGGCTCTCTGATCTCACTTCCTAACCTTTTCCTCAGTGTTCTATATTTGCTGTTGTTTCCCACCATCTCTTCTAGATATTTGCTGTTAGCTTCTTTCTTAGGCTTTCCTGACAACCCCCCGTCTCCATTTATAGCTGAAAAACTCACCCCCACATCAGCATTCCCTGCTGCTCTCCTGATACTCATTTCCCGGTAGGACTCGTTACCACCTCTATTTTATTTACTTCCCAGCTTTCCCTGGGAGAGTGAAGGCATAGTTACACATGCAGCAGTATTCCTAGTAGGCCACAGCCTGCCTCAGAGAAGGTGCCCCAAAATATTAGCTGAGTGAACCCTGTGCCAAACTTCAGCATATAGGTATGTGCCTTTGCATCAACCTAAAAATGTAAGCTATATATTCTGAGCACCCTCACTTTGTTATCCATCTGTTTGTTACCCATACGTAATGGTTCATCACTTTTTGCTATTGAGAATTCATTTGTCCCCTCTTCCACTCTGTATGTAGTAGTCTCTAGGATTTCATAAAGGGGGAATTTCAAGATTCTTCTAGGTCCCTCAGTGATTTAGGGGAAGTGACTTGCACCTTTACTGATGACTGTAGTACGAGACAATCATGACAGCATTAGAAGCATAAGAAGCAAAAACAGTAAGTCGTTATCTGTAAGTGCAAGTGGTAAAACAGTGAATTGCAGATTTCACCTGTTTGTAAAAAGGACAAACAGTAACATGAGGGGTCTGACTATTTGCAAAAACTGTTTTTCTTTCAAATGTTGTCTAAGAAGGCCCAGTGTAATGAAGGAGCCCTGGGGTGGGAAGGGGTCCTCTGCCTCTCAGGCTGTAAAATGGGAGGCCAAAAGCTATCTCTCACCTCTATTGAGCTCTAAAAGTCCATCACAAGCTCTTGGAGAAGCCATGGAACTGTTCATGTCCATCTACTCTTACATTTCAGGTTTATTGTTACAACTGACAACATACCAAGAACCACTGTCATAAATTGACATTTAGACATAGAAACTTTCATAGTTTATTCATAATTCTCAATTAAATGGATATATTTTTCATAACACGAATATTTAAAAATGTAAAACTATCTAAGGACACTTACAGACTCAAAGAACCATCATCATAACTACATTTAAACTTTGATTCATGAAGGGACTAATTATCCAGTTTGTGAACCTGTAAGCCCCTGTAGCTCTCTTCCCATTCTTTGCAAAGAATTTGAAACTCCAGTTTGTGGGTTGTTTATAAGCTCCAAGGACATTGTAACCAAAGGCCAAATGAGTTTTTGGCACTACTTGGAAGTTCCTATTTTGGGTGTCTTCCCCCTCCACTGACTTTAACCGAGAATTAGCAGTACTGGACATACTCCATTAATTGATTTCAACTGTCATTCCACAGATGTATTTCACCTTTTGACGACTGAGTGGTAAAACACATGGTTCTTAGAAGCTATGGAGAAGAAACTTGAAAAAATAAAATGTATTAAACGGTTAAATCATACCGGCCTCTGCTAGTATTGCTCCAGTTTCAAGTTGACATTCGGGGCAGCACTGCTCCAGCTCCAGCACCACACAGTGGGTAGGACTGAGCTGATGGTGGGACGCTGTCTAGTCACTGTGCAGGCTTTCTTGGGGGGGCCGCATGCTCCCCTCCACCACAAATCTAAGTGCTGGCCCCCTGGGCGCAACCTCAAGAACCTGGCATGCCTTTTATTCAGGAAAAGGGAAAAACCAAACTTCTAAAACACACCCAAACACACAACAGATTTCGGGAGCGATTGTCTCTTTTTTCTTTCTTACAAAATCCCGGCCCTCTGACTGGTCCTGAGCTCTTACTGGTTTCAGCACGACTTACGGGGGGTGTTCCTGCGGGGTGGGGAGGAGAGGAGAGGCGGCGGAGGGCGCGATCCGGGGGCGCCAGCTCGCAGGGGGCCGACTGTGCGGGCGGACGTGCCCCTCCGAGGCTCGCCCCGCTCTCCCGCCCCGGGGCGGCCGGACCAGCCCTGCCAGGCATCCGGGCTGGGGAAGAGACAAAAGGGATGCTCTGTCCTCGCCCTTCCCGAGCCTAAAATCCAGGGCGCAGGGCCGGGCCTGGGAACATCCCACCAAATACGAGACGGAAGGCACCCCCGCGGGCAGGGACTGCCCGTCCGTGCCGCACACATCGACACGGAAATAAGATTTCAAGGCGTTTTAAGCAGCGAGCTGGCGAGCGAGCGAGCGAGCGAGCGAGGCAGGCCCACCCAAGATGGAAGGCAAGGCAGAGGGCTCGGGCGGAAGCCGCCGAGCCGGGGCCGCCGGGCTCTGGGTGCAGCAGCCCCGGGCCCAGGGGCCAAGAGCGAGGCGAGGGCCGCCAGCACACAGCTCGGGAAGCCGCCCGGCTGCGGCGGATCCGTGTAACCGAAAGGCGGTCCCTCCTCCTGCATCAGCTCGGCCCCGCGGGAAGCGCACTGCGCGGCCGGCGCCGCGCTCTCGGCGGGTTCGGCGTGGGGGCGGGGAGGGCAGGGCGGGCGGGCGGGCGGGCCGGCGGGCGGGCGGGCGGGCGGGCGGGCGGGGGCGGGCCCCGCGGCGCGGGCGCGCTCCCCCCCGCAGCGGAGCTCCCGTCAGCGCAGGGGGCGGGGCGCCTATATTACGTGCGCGGCGCCGCCCCTGCGAGAGGACGTTGCGTGCTCGCTCGCGCCAGGCGAGTCTCCGCGTCTCCCTCGCGAACTCGGTGAAAGGAATTGGCGCCGTTCGACACCAGGCGGGTCCGCTCTGCAGCACGAACCCACCTCTAGCCGCAGCCGCAGCCGCCGCCCGGGCCGAGGAGCAGCCGCAGCAGCCGCCACCAGTGGCCGAGGGAGCGGAGCCGAGTCTGAGCCAGCGCCTAGCGGTGAATCGGGGCCCTCACCATGAGTTCCTCGCCTGTTAATGTAAAAAAGCTGAAGGTCTCGGAGCTGAAAGAGGAGCTCAAGAAGCGGCGCCTTTCCGACAAGGGCCTCAAGGCCGAGCTCATGGAGCGCCTCCAGGCCGCGCTGGACGACGAGGAGGCCGGGGGCCGCCCCGCCATGGAGCCCGGGAACGGCAGCCTAGACCTGGGCGGGGATTCCGCCGGGCGCTCGGGAGCAGGCCTCGAGCAGGAGGCCGCGGCCGGCGGCGACGAGGAGGAGGAAGAGGAGGAAGAGGAGGAGGAAGGGATCGCCGCCCTGGATGGCGACCAGATGGAGCTGGGAGAGGAGAACGGGGCCGCGGGGGCGGCCGACGCGGGCCCGATGGAGGAGGAGGAGGCCGCCTCGGAGGACGAGAACGGCGACGATCAGGGCTTCCAGGAAGGGGAGGATGAGCTCGGCGACGAGGAGGAAGGCGCGGGCGACGAGAACGGGCACGGGGAGCAGCAGCCTCAACCGCCGGCGACGCCGCAACAGCAGCCCCCACAGCAGCGCGGGGCCGCCAAGGAGGCCGCGGGGAAGAGCAGCGGCCCCACCTCGCTGTTCGCGGTGACGGTGGCGCCGCCCGGGGCGAGGCAGGGCCAGCAGCAGGCGGGAGGTAAGAAGAAGGCGGAAGGCGGCGGAGGCGGCGGTCGCCCCGGGGCTCCGGCGGCGGGTGAGTGCTGCGTTGTACGTTGCGCGCGGCGGGAGGCCCGCGCGGGGTGGGGACCGTGCCCCAGGCCTGCCGGAGCCCCGCGGGGGGGAGGGGGCGGGGGCCGCCGCGGGGGAGGCGCGGGGAGGGGGGGAGGGGGCGCGGGGAATCCCGCCCGGCCGCGAGGCCTCGGCGGCCTCGGGCTCGGTGTGTGCGACGGCGGCGGCGCCTCCATTATGTGGCTGGAGGGCCGGGGGGGTGGGGGTGGTAGCTGCAGCTGCCGCTGGAGGGGGAGGAGCCGCGGGCGGCGGGCGGGAGCCCAGTCGGCCCGCGGTGGCGCCGCTGCGCTGCGTGCGCGCGGTGCGGGCACATGTCTGGGGGGGAGGGGAGGGGAGAGGAGAGGAGAGGCCCGAGGGCCCGGGGCGGGCGCGCTTTGGCGGCGCTGGGCCGCGGTATTGTGCAAGGAGCGCAGGGGCTCGGCGTGACGTCACTTCCGGCGGGAGGGGCCGGGCGGGGAGAGCGGGGCGGAAGATCAGTACAATGCGGCCGCGGGGAACGCGGGCCCGGGTGGGGGAGGGGAGCAAGGGAGGGGCGGGCGCGCGGGCGGCGGGCCGGCGCGGCCCCTCCCCCCTTCCTGAACTCTCTCCGGGATCCACGTGGGCTCGGGGCCTGGGCCGCGCTGGGCTCCGGGAGCTTTCTCGAATCTTCGAAGAGGCTGGCAAAATTAGGAATGTCTTTAGATTGCGTCACTAGCTCCTGGCCGGTTCCAAGCTGATTGTTCTTTGAATTCGCGTTGGATTCGTCGGTTGAAATCGCTTGCGGAAAAGAACGGGGGAGTTAGGAGTATTTGCGTTCCCCAAACAGGAGGGGGGATTTTTTTTCTTTTTCCCCGGTTGCGTCGCGGCTTGGCCCCTTATGTTAGGGGTGTTGTGTGTTATAGGAGACGGCAAAACAGAGCAGAAGGGCGGAGATAAAAAGAGAGGGGTGAAAAGACCTCGAGAAGATCATGGCCGTGGATATTTTGAGTACATTGAAGAGAACAAGTATAGCAGGTAGAGGATGCCGATCTAGTTTTACCCGTCCCCGTTCTTTCTTGGGTAGGAAAAGCTGAATCAGGAGACAATTCTGTCTTTCAGAGCCAAATCTCCTCAGCCACCTGTTGAAGAAGAAGATGAGCACTTCGATGACACAGTGGTTTGTCTTGATACTTGTAAGTGAAGCTGTTTCTTCCCTTTCCTCCCCCAGTTACTAAATGTGGCGATTTTGGTGCCAAAATGTTAGAGAACTTAAACGCAGTGTGCTGAACTTAAATGCAGAATACTTAGCGTAAACCGTTTACCTTTTTTAAAGGAGGGAGATGAAGGGTTTTATTCAGATTCTGGTAGCTAAATGTCTAGTACAGCATCAATGTGTCGTATTGATAATTTTATAGGCTCCAGCAATTTGGTGTTATTTTTTATATGATTAGAAAGTTCTCATTTATAGGAATGTAAAATTAATGGCAATTTTTGGTTTAGTTAGCTAATGGAAACTTGTAAGACAACCTGTAACTTGTCCTTTTAGGCTCCTACGATAAAGTAATTTAATTTTTTTGGTAGCATTTTATTAAGTGAGCTATTTGGGCTAGTTAAGTACGTATTAATGATCTTTCCCATTAGCACACAAGTATATTCCCTATTCTAAAAGATTGTAATATTACTTTTTCAATAACTGCTCTTTTGTTCTCAATTCCAGTTCAGTAGCTGCTGCTTTAACATAAGTTGATTTCTTCCAAAGACCTGGGGCAGCAGCAGTGGGCTATCACTGGGCTACTAGCTTTCTTCAGCAGCGAATGGTATCAATGGCAGCGCTGTAAATACTGCTACTTTACCCAATTGGGTTGCAATTGAGTATGAGGAAGTATTGCAAACCTCTAAATGGGCCTTGGCTGTCAGATATGTAATTTTGCCTAAAAATACTTTGTTCAGTATTTGATCAGAATGCACAGCTCTTTCACTTTGATAAATAGAGCTTAGAAATTATGGCTTGCTAAGTAGGTGGTCAGGTGTGAACCTGCCCCATAGATCTAGGGAGTTAAAGTTTAGATTTCCGTGTTTTCCAATACAAATTATTTTTAGCAAGATTTGTAAGAATGTAAATGTTAACTCTTGAGTTCTTATTAAATACCCTTAACAGGTAGTTGAGCTAAGGGAATCTTTTAAAAGAAAAAAAAAACTGCACGTGGAAAAATCGTTGATGTGAGAGTTTTATTTTAAATAGTTCCATTGCTTTTAAATATGACTAAGTTAGAATTGGCAAGATAGTGAAGCAGTGCTTCCAGAAGTGATGCTACCGCCCAAGTAGATGGGGTTATAGCTGAATACCTAGGAACATCAACTTAATTTGTTGCTATCTATATTGGGTTCAAACACAGTTGGTCGAATTGAAAATTCTGTCAGTATTCTTGAGAGCTAAGCTCATTTAAGGAGAATCCCAAGCTGTAGATCTAATTTCCTGTCATCAGTAAAAGCATAAGAAAACAGGTTTTTAACTTGCAATGCAAACTCCAAGAAGGTGCATGCTAATGAGCCACTGACCCAAAGATAGTTAGGTTAAGGACCTTTCTTTGGGATTTGGGTAATCCTGGAAGGGATAATCCCCCGTTGTTATTGACTGACCCTCTGGCCTGGGGAAAAGGGAGCTAAAATGCCGTAATAACAGTATCCGACCAGCAGGTTTGCATTTGGCTAGGTTGAGGCTGCCTTCTTCACAGTGTGAGAACTTAGGGTCTAGAGCCCCCAGTGTTTTAAAATCACAAAGCACAGGATCAACAAACAGCTCACACTCCTGTATTTAAAGTGTGTGGTCATGGCCTCCCTTCAGTTTTATTGTGGCACTGGTAAATTCTACCTGGTTCTGGCATGCTTCACTTTGATTTCCTGCTATCCTCTACTGCTTGCCTCTAAATCAAGGTAAAGAGCAGAGCAGGTATGTATCCCATGTCACATTGTCTTGATTATTTTATATACTTAGAATACACGTTAAATTTGGTGTTTTGGTTTTGTAGGCAGTTTACACTTTAGTTCATAATTTGGTGAGAGTGACTTGGTGGGTGTGGGGCCTAAAGTGAAGATCAGCAGCATGATCTGTAGAAGCAATGTGTCCCAATGCAGCTTTAGGAAATACGCAAGAATATAATAACCAGGTTTTGTTGATGTAGCAGATATATTTGCACTGGATGTCAAAAGAAATAATATGGTATTTGATATAATTACAGATAATTGTGATCTACATTTTAAAATATCAAGAGACCGCCTCAGTGCTTCTTCCCTCACTATGGAGAGTTTTGCTTTTCTTTGGGCTGGAGGAAGGGCATCTTATGGTGTGTCAAAAGGCAAAGTCTGTTTTGAGATGAAGGTAAAAGCAGTTTCATGATTTTTTTTTTTTAAAGAACCTCTGAGTTACCATTTGCCTGACACTTCATAGTGTCATTGGAACTTTTTATCTTTGAAGTTTCTGTGGATTGAAAGAGACTGGGAAAAACCTTTCTTTTATGACAGTTAACTAGATCTGTTACATTAGAAATTTCTATTTGTACGGTCAGCCTGTCTTTATTTAGGTTACTCTTTTTTTATCAAGCACTTGAAAAGCCCATGAAGGGTTTAACATAATTTGATTTAAGCTTTGGGTTTTGTTCCATAGTAAAACATGTTGAATGTATACTTTAATTGGTTTTTGAGTCAAGAATCTGTAATCTTTGGACTTTAACAGTTCTTTTAAATGTGAGTCGATCAAGGACTTGAATGTTTTCGGCTCAAGTTCCAAGCTCTTCTGTCAATTTTTAAAGTTCTTGTAAATGTAGGGGAGAGATGGTGAGGTAGAATGGGTCTCTCCCTGTTAGTAGACAGAGAAGAATTAGCCCACATCCCAGATGAAGTAAACAAGGGGTCAGGGGTTTATCTTCTTCGTATTCATTTATGATTTGATTTTTCAGGTTACAGAGAAGATCCCAGTAAGGCATTTATATACAAAAGATATTGACATACATGAAGTTCGGATTGGCTGGTCACTAACGACAAGTGGAATGTTGCTTGGTAAAGTTTCCATTTGAGTAGTATGTGCTCATGTGTGTTTAGGGTCTGATTTCAGTAGTTAGACTAGAAGGCTTTCTAAACCTGCCTTTTTAAATCCATTTTGTTATTTTAGTTGTGAATGATACTAGCATGTATCAACTGACTTGAGGGTTTTTTTTTCCTCTCCCCTTTTTGGTTACTTATTTTATGACCAGTGGTTAAAAGCCACTATCCCATGATGTGCAATTTTTCAGATAGTTATATAACCCACCTAGCTCTCAATTTTCTACATCTAGGTAAAGTGTAAGTGGAAGAATGTTAGGTTATGTACTCCTTTCTCTTGATTGTACTTTGAATATTAAAATATGTGGGTCATTGGACTGTTTTGAACAATCGATTTCATGAAAGTTAATTTATTTTCTTAGGTGAAGAAGAATTTTCTTATGGGTATTCTCTTAAAGGAATAAAAACATGCAATTGTGAGACTGAAGATTATGGAGAGAAATTTGATGAAAATGATGTGATTACATGTTTTGCTGTAAGTCATAAGTCACCCAAATTTCTATTTTAAAAGTGAGAATTATTAATTAGAATTTTTTTTAAGTTATATCAACCTCTGCCTTCAATACTAACCTGTTCCCCCTGAAAACTATAACATGAAGTTGGCCTGAAAATCTAGTCTCTTTATGAAGGCAGCATTGTTTCTGCTTCTAGATACAAATGTTTTAGTCTTCATAAGTGTTACAAAGCTAACATTTAACTTATAAATACATTTTTTATTGGATGAGCTTCATTCCTTTCAATTTTGAGTTTTTTTTTTAACGAAGCTTAAAGGAGGCAGATTAAAACTTACTTTTTTTTACTATTTAACAGAACTTTGAAAGTGATGAAGTAGAACTCTCCTATGCAAAGAATGGACAGGATCTTGGTGTTGCCTTCAAAATCAGTAAGGAAATTCTTGCTGGAAGGCCACTTTTCCCGCATGTTCTCTGCCACAACTGTGCAGTTGAATTTAATTTTGGTCAGAAGGAGAAGCCATATTTTCCAATACCAGAGGATTATACTTTTATCCAGAATGTCCCCTTAGAGGATCGAGTTAGAGGACCAAAGGGGCCTGAAGAGAAGAAAGATTGTGAGGTAAGTAAAATGTTTTTTCCTTAAGCATTTGAAGAATACTTTTGTTTGGCAAAAATTACACTTGGAAGTTCTGGATGATTAATCTGTTTGATTCTGCCATGATTGTTACCAGCCAGTGATTTTTCTCTTAGTAGCTGTGTTCTTTATATAGTATTGAGTTTCTAAAACTTCCCTTTGCTTTTAGGGCAATGAAAATCTAAACCAGGCTCTTTTGTTTTTAAAAAACACATAGGGAATTCTTAGATGGCTCTGGTGATAAGTGAAATACTGTTTTTTCTTACTCTAGGTGGTTATGATGATTGGCTTGCCTGGAGCTGGGAAAACCACCTGGGTTACTAAACATGCAGCAGAAAATCCTGGTAAATACAACATTCTTGGAACTAACACCATAATGGATAAGATGATGGTAAGTAAAGTATTTATAGTGTGTTCTCAGCACTTTGAAAAGACCAGAAGATACTCCAACTTTTTTGCCTGTTGCCTTTATGCATTTTGTGTTCCTGTTTGAGAGATAAAGAGTTTGGCCAAGTTATCTCGGTTAAAGCAGGAGGATGTAAGGTAAACTGCATTTATGTGTAAGGTGAAGTGCCTTCCACTGGCCAGGCTTTTTTTTTTTTTTTTTCTCTGTAAAATTTTTTGAACTACTAAGCAATTAGTAGCTAAGAAAGAACTGAATAGCAGAGGATTTTGTGACATGGTAAAGTGACATGGTTAAGTGACTCATCATAATGATGAGGAAAGGGACTATTTAAATTTGAAAATGTCTGATTTCTGCATAGATCTAAGCGGATACTAAAAAAACCTAAGCTTCATCCACAAGTTCAAAGGAACTTTTTTAACTTTAAAACAGGTGGCGGGGTTTAAGAAGCAGATGGCTGATACTGGAAAATTGAACACACTGTTGCAGAGAGCTCCCCAGTGTCTTGGGAAGTTTATTGAGATTGCTGCCCGCAAGAAACGAAATTTCATTCTGGATCAGGTAAACTGTATCTTTGAGGTTGGAAAAAAATAATGGATTGTGGGGTTTCATGTGGAGCTAATATTTGGGTTATCAAACTTTGTTTTCAAGACAAATGTGTCTGCTGCTGCCCAGAGGAGAAAAATGTGCCTGTTTGCAGGCTTCCAACGAAAAGCTGTTGTAGTTTGCCCGAAAGATGAAGACTACAAGCAAAGAACGCAGAAGAAGGCAGAAGTAGAGGGCAAAGACCTACCAGAACACGCGGTCCTCAAAATGAAAGGCATGAAATTTAGTTTTGTTACTGTGTTAAATCTTTTTTGTGTCCGTTAACTACTGTCGGTTCAGATTATCTTCAATGGAAATGAACATTTTTGGTTTATTTCTGTTTTTAGGAAAACATGTTTGTAAAGCTGAGCAGGCAGCACAGTGTGGGTTTCAAAGAATCAAAGCCACTCAGTTTAGGCTTCAAAGTTGTGGGAGTTGTGAGGTTTTAGCTAATCTGGTCTTACTCCTTGTAGGAAACTTCACGCTGCCAGAGGTAGCCGAGTGCTTTGATGAAATAACCTATGTTGAACTGCAAAAGGAGGAAGCCCAGAAACTTTTGGAGCAATACAAGGAGGAAAGCAAAAAGGCTCTCCCACCAGAAAAGAAACAGAACACTGGTTCAAAGAAGAGCAATAAAAACAAGAGTGGCAAGAACCAGTTCAACAGGGGTGGCGGCCACAGAGGCCGTGGTGGCTTCAACATGCGCGGCGGCACCTTCCGAGGAGGAGGCAAGTGTGCTTGGGCATGGGGTCCTGCAGTGGGGCTGCATCCCTGGGTGGTGCTCTCAGGGCTGGGAGCCTGGCGCTGTTAGCAGGGTTTGACCTCCCATGTCTTGACCCTTGCACTATACCTGCTGCCCGAGGAACTGGTTTAAAATCTTGTGATTTGATGAACGCAGGTAGGGTCTCTGAATGATTAAATGAAGCATTGTTCTTGTTTTCAAAGTGATTTTTCTTTTAATAAAGGACTGGTCCAGAGATGCAGCACACTGTTAAGCTAAACATCTCTTATTTGCAGCTCCTGGGAATCGTGGCGGATATAATAGGAGGGGCAACATGCCTCAGAGAGGTGGTGGTGGCGGTGGCAGTGGCGGGATTGGCTATCCGTACCCTCGGGGCCCTGTGTTTCCCAGCCGAGGAGGTTATTCAAACAGAGGGAACTACAACAGAGGTGGAATGCCTAACAGAGGGAACTACAACCAGGTAATGATTGAGATTCCTTTAGGCACTGATGATTTGTGTGATTTAGCCTGGAAAATTGTAGGTTTGTGTTAGCCTTAGTAAGATTTGTAAGCAACACTGTATGTCTGTATGCGGTGACCTAAGAAAGACTAGTGAGGGTAAGATGAGGCCCACTTCATTTTGATTTTCAGGTGCACAGACTAGCGATGAGGCAGGTGATACCTTATAAATGACCCACCTGAGAACAAACCAGCAGAGGGTGCCCAGAGCTTAGTAATTTGTGTTGCTTGCCTCCCGCATGTACAGACCTTCTAATGAGCTGTGTCCGGAGTCCTTAAGTTTATTTTCTCTTTCCACCCCCATCCCCACTCCCCCAGAACTTCAGAGGACGAGGAAACAATCGTGGCTACAAAAATCAATCTCAGGGCTACAACCAGTGGCAGCAGGGTGTAAGTAATTTCTTCTGTGCTCTGGCCATTCATTGTACTTTAAGTTCGTAAGAATCAGTCTTGAAAAACTTGTCCAGGGTTTGGAGTGTTTGTAAATGTTACAGGGCAAGGTGTGAATATTAGGTGGTTTGCTGTAATTTAACGTTATGATAAAATATTCTTTAATACATACGTTTCTTTTTATTGCTAGCTTTAATTGTATAAACTAACCAAGTCATGATGTGTTTCCTTTTGTAATGTCTTTATTGATTAATAATGGGATATTAATACTAACTAAATCTGGTTTGGTAGAAATCAGAGGTATGACAGGTATAAATTTGTTTCCAGCAATTACTCTGAATTAGATTGTCATTTCCTAAAAGCAGTTTGAGTGGCTTATTGATGTTTTTTCTTTAAAAAAAAAATTTTCTCTTACAGCAATTCTGGGGTCAGAAGCCATGGAGTCAGCATTATCACCAAGGATATTATTGAATACCCAAATAAAACGAACTGATACATATTTCTCCAAAACCTTCACAAGAAGTCGACTGTTTTCTTTAGTAGGCTAACTTTTTAAACATTCCACAAGAGGAAGTGCCTGCGGGTTCCTTTTTTAGAAGCTTTGTGGGTTGATTTTTTTTCTTTTCTTTTTTGTACATTTTTAATTGCAGTTTTAAAGTGAATCGTAAGAGAACCTCAGCATTGTGCACGATAAGAGAATGTGTCAGTATTTCAGGGTTCTACATTTTATCTGTAAAATGTGACTTTTTTTTTTTATCACAACAAAAGTAAAATGTTGCTTTGTACCTGGTGTCTTTTATTAAGAATTTACTCCCCCCATTTCTCACAGAGATAACAGTCGGGAGTCATTGTCACAATATAATAGAAATGTTAGCAACCAGATTCATGTAAGGACTAAGCAGTCCTCATGAATTGCATAAGACTCTGTACTGCTCATAGTACACTCCATCCTCTCTGTAGTTTGCTGAGTAGTGGAGGGGGAAAGCTTCAACAGTAGTTTCTGACAATAACTGGGAAGGCTTTTTCTTTTTTTTTAAAATAACAATGGAATTGGCATAATTGGGAATGAAGATAAAACTTGGAACCGAGATCGAGAAGATGGAGTGTATGTAGAAGGGCTGTTAAAAATGTAAACCTTGGTTGCATTATTTGTGGAGGCTCAAACTTGTGAAGGTTCAATACCATACTTTTTCCATTTGTTCTGCATTTTGATTCTGAAAAGAAAGCTGGCTTTGCCCATTTCTTATTAAAAAAACTTGTTGTAAATCCAGTTGTCTAATGGGATCTATATGAAGTTAGCTATGTCTGTATGCCCTTCTCCCACAAAATACTGTATAACTAGTGTGCTTGTAGTAGTTAACTCCACCATCTTTGTAAGCTAATGAAATTGTGAGTCACCCATTTATATCTTAATTTTTAATCATGTCAGTTCTTGAATGGGTATCTCCTTAGCCTGCTGATTTCTTTTTCTTTCTAAAGAAAGTGGGTGGAGAAATTAATTTAGACGTTTGTTTGCAATAAAAAGAATTCATTTTACTCTCGTTTTGGGATTCTCGCCATCAAGGTTCAAAATCCCTTTATAAAACTCCTAAGAGGAGAAAACTTAAGTGTGTGCTTTCTGGACAGCTTATTCTTTACTCTGTACCTGGAACATTTAGGTTTTAAAAACTTAAATGTATACTGACAATTCAATTATGAAGTAAAGTTGAATTCTTCCCCTCCCCCCCAGATGACTTAACATTTTAATGAGGGGAAATGGTGTACTGGCTGGGAGAAGTTTACACTCAGTTTACCATCTTTTACAAAATGCTAATGGCTGTCCTCAACTGAATATCTTATATGCACCTATCTAATACATGAAACGCTGGGAACCGATGCTTTTAGAAGCCATCATGCAAGCCAGTCCTTGATTTCACTACTACACAACACTGCTAACTTAACCGTAGCTATGTGATGACATTAGATCCCCTACTTGTAATTCTATTGGGTTTGCACAGAACACTTAATCTTCTAAAGGACCCTCACTGATGTGAAGTGAGGAATCAGGAGTCAAACTGTAGAACTAAAACTTGACTTCAGTCTAGTGTTTTGTTGTTTCAGGTTGCTTCTGGTAAGTTTAGGTCTGTCTATATTTGTTTGCTTAGGTTTTTGTTTAAGCTCTTTTAAATCAGATCTTTAACTTCTTCATACTCCTAGGAATTTTGCTACAATCTGAGCTGGAGTTGAGTTTTATTAGATGGTGGTCTAGGTTTAGTTGATAAATGTTTGGAATAAAGGCTACTCCTGTAATTACTGTAAGAACACTTAGTGGTACCAGGTAGTGTTGAGGGCGGTTTTTGTTTTGTTTTTTTAAGCAGTTTACTGCTAGCAGCTGCTGGCATGAACTATTTTTTTCAGTATATATTAAAATCACTAGGATTGCACAGTCTTACTCAGGGGAAAAAAGTTCAAACTTTGTTGCTCATCAGTGTTTTAGGGTACCTTTGAAGAATCTTGAGTATATATTCTAGTTTAAAACAGCTTATAGAATTCATGTTTAATAATTGCAATGGGAGAGTAATGGCCAAGTAGCATTTTGGTAGACTGTCATGCCTTGTGTAGCCCAGAAAATCTTGGGGGAAGAATAAAGTGGAATAGATAAAAATACTGTCTAGGAAAATGTTAAAAGTTTCCAGAACCAGCGTCAAGATTAGAATTACTATGTATGAAAAGAAACAATCTTAGTGTTTGGGAAATTCAGGAGAGGGAAGTGTACCAGACGGTAAGCAAAAGGGAGAAAAATGAGAACTACCATTTGGTAGCAGCAGATCTGTAAATGAGAAACTTTGTTTAGTCTTTGCCCCTCTTGCCCACCTCTGGCAAGCAGAACACCGAAACAACAAAAGACAGCTCTGAACAAAGGCTTCCAACTATATCCATTAGATTACCGTTGGTCTAGGTTGGTGCCTTCCTTAGAAAGTTTGCAGGCAGTTGGACCAATCCGTCCTGAGTCCGGTATCGGATCAGATTGGTCAGCTAGGATCATGTGAAAACATGAATAGGTTAATCAGGAAAGAAGGCACACATTGCAAGATAGAAGTGAAGTAACTCATACCATCCTATAGAATGTTCCTTTTGTTGGTAGTTAGGTAGTCTTGTCACTCCTATCTGGCCTTTGACAGAGGGCTCTGGCTGGGACCCAGGAGGCCAGGACTGACCTCTGTCCCTGATACCCAGGTTTTTCAGAGGAAGATGAAATCTTTGGATGAAGTAGGAGTCCATTCAGTCCTGATGCTGAAACAACAAAAGGAAGCCATATTAAATCTACAAAACAAGCAGCCCACATCTGCTTCGACCGATCTTTCCCAACAGGACAGTGAAACGTCCTGAGCACTGACAAGGTGTTGAAGCTTTTAAAAGACTATCTTCTTTGAAAAGTACTTAAAATATTTCCAGAAAAAGTATATTTTAAGTATTTTTTAGTATATTTTTCACCTTCTGGAGAGTTGACTTTCACGGACAGGTTACGTTCGTGTTTAGTGTTTGCATCCATTGGTGTGAGTTGAAGGACTTGTTTTTCTATAAGCTTATATAAATTGGCTTTCTATCCTCAGAACATTTTTGTAAGGCCCGTTGCACAAATTATAAAGTATTTTTGTAGCGCTTTAAGCAGTGGTATAGATTTCAGTCACAAAGACTTGATAGGTCTAGTGGAGTCTATTAACTTTTAAAAAGCTGAAGCCAGAATGAGCTGCTAAAGAAAGCATAATAAACCTCCTTTAGAGCCCAAGTCTTTGTTTCTGATACCAGATGTAAATGTACATCCTAAAAAACATCATTTCCCTAATTTTCTCTGTACACACAAGTAAAAAGTGTCTTAAAAAATGGGTGGAACTTGTAGCAGAGACTAAGTCTCCCCTCCCATTACCCGGAATACTTAGTGAAATACTGTGGAAAGATGAATACAACAATACTTTCTCTAAAGTCATTCTCCTAAAACTTAAATGGTTTGAACCTAAACTTTGTTGTTCATGTTTTCTGGGGGCTCTGATATTCAGTCTTAACGTTTTAGTAATAGAGCGAGGATATGTAGGGTTATGGCTTTGGCAGTAGGTTGCAGTAGGTTCGCATGAACGTTAAAGTATATTAAATGAGTACTTCGAATAAGAATCACCCTGCATATTAGCTCTCTGAAGCAGTTTGAATTAGTCATGTAGCCAGTCTCCAAATCCTTAATGGCCTAAACATTTATTTAAAACTACAGTGTCCTTCTGATATGTCCCTTTTGTTTGGATATTTTTTCGATTTGAATCTTCTTGGCCCTGTTACCCTTCAGCTTCTCCACTAAGACGTGCAGGTGGTAGGTCTTGCCGGTTTAGTGGTTTTCATTTAGTTTAATGCCCGTTTTTTTTTTTTTTTTTTTTTTTTTTTAGTCTGTTTGCCAGTGCTATAGGTACATGTTAGACCAATACCTAAAAATCCTTTGTCTAGCTAACTCGTGTTGAAGTGAGTGACCTTTGGCTTACTGATCTTTACTAACCTTGATGTTGAAAATAAACCCTTGAGGATTATTGTGGAAGTGATCTAAAAGTGTTCAGATTGAAATAGTATGTATCTCTTGAGTGTGGGAGTAAAAAATAAAAACTAGGATCTGACCATTCCTAAGTTTATATGTGAAGTCAAATAGTTGAAATAACCTACTTGAATAGTATATTTTGCTAAAAACATGCTACTGTATTTGGTGGTCACACTTTGTTGATTTCAAGGTGCAGGCAGCTGGAGCCCCTCCCCCCACCCCCCAAATAAGAGCCCTTTCAGATAGGGGGAAGTGGCTCACAGTTAGGCACTTAGATAAATAAGGATATGCTGTCCCATCCTCATCAGTTGGCTAAAAATAGAAGTGACTGAATATATTTAATTAGGTTGCCTAAAGAACTTAATTTAGTCTGTAAGGCTTAGTAGGTTGTGAAATACTATATTCATAATGTTAACCTAGAATCACTTTAAAAATGTCACACCTGTGTATCTCGTGAGGTTATGTCCGGAACTGCTGTCTGTGTGGAAAGCTGAATAAGAACAGTTTTCTGGCATGACGTAGATACTTGGGGAATTGCAGTTGTGATTACAGATCAGTATTTGTCAGGGAACAAATAGATAACTGCTAGGTCAGCACATCTGTAATCACTGGGTAGGTAAGTTAATTGGGACAAGGACCTTCCTTAACTGTGTGCTTCTGTTTGTATTTACTTAATCACTGCCTAGGAATTACAGTTGTTTTCTCCCTTCTCATGCCAGGATTCAACATATACTTGCATCTTGACAAGGAAACAGGGGTTTTGCTTTTTAAACAAAGCTGGATCTGTGGGTATGAGAAAACAATATTCTGTAGTCGAAGGTGGTGAGGTAATAACCGTTTAGGTAAACAGAAATGTCTTACAGAAAAGTTAACTTCCTTATTTGCTGCTGCACCGTTAACAATTGCATTGCATCCCTGTGGCGTAGCACTTAACCCCGGAGCATGTACAGCTCAACCTGCACTACTGGAGATTTTGCAGGGATTATAGGCCAGAGAGCTAACATACCTAATAAACGCGGAGCTGTTGTTTGTGGCATGCTGTTTCCTGCCATTTCTTTTAATAGTCCACAGTCTTAAAGGAAATAAAATCAGTTTTGTGCAGTAAAATGTTTTGTACTTGCCAAGCGTTTGAGAAGTATATCCACAAATTAGCATCAGTGAAAAAATTTTAAAAAGCCAAGGACAGTGAGATGGCCAGTATAGTTAGCTAACCTGTGATGTAAGATCTTTGAAGAACTGAGAGAGACAAAAGGGAAGGTAGAATCAATACTTCAAAGAATGGTTGGGTTTATTTGAATGGCAACTTGGAGGATAATTTTTTAAGGTAGCTGTTAATACAAGGTACCCTTACATTTCAGTTGTTTGTAGTGAAGGGAGTGGGAGCATCATGGTCAAGTACAATAAAAGGTTCCAACTTTATATATATTTTTAAAGTAATAAAGCAAAAAAAAAATGCTGATTTAAATTTCATCTCCTTTTCCTTAGTCTGTCCATGTGAATGTGCTGTGTGGAAGAGTAAAAGGGCCCAACTAAATGTGTTCCAGTGATTCCAATAGGTATTCCAAATTAATTGCTGCTTGTACATTTAACACTTGTTATATTGGGCTTCCAGGATCAACGTAATTAGAATCCCTTATTTTATTTAAAAGGATGGGAAAAGGAAATACTGGTAACCCAGATTGTATAGATTGTATTAAACAGGAAGAAAAGGTTTTCTAGTTTTTCCTTTGTGTATCATGAAATGTTGAAGTAATTGGTGTGTTAAGCAGTTGGTGGTCCTCTCTCATAGGTTTAAGATTGTGTATGCAAATGGAGCCGAATCCTTTCAAGGTTCTAATGGTTCAAATTCCTTCTGTTTTAATTTTTTGTTAAGACCTTCATTTTAATGCCCCCCACTTGCAGAGTTTACTTAAAATATTTTAATGCAGAAAGAGGAGTGTAGGAGATATCTATGTTGTTTTTGCCAAAACCTGCATCCTAGGCTAAATGCACAAATACTTTTTATTAGTTTGTAAAACATTTGGAAACTGGGTTGAGAACCTTTTGGAGAATGAGGACTCCATATCAAAATAGAAAAATCAACTGGGAAGTGAATTTAAATTGTAAAGACAGAAGGAATACAAAGGCTCAGTGTGACCTCTGATTGTGCCAGTCCCAGAGCATGTCTCTTTGCCCTGAAGTCAGCTTAGAGGGAATCTCTTCTCCCCCACCACATACTCCAGAATAATGTATTTTGGTGAAATGAGAGGACCTGGCTGTGATACTGATTTGAGATGTAGCTGTCAGGATTTGTTCAATGAAATACAGTTCTCTGTGTCAAATAAAAAATTTAATGGCTTCTGAAAGAGCAGACTGCTCAGTTTCAGACTAAAAGGTAAAAAGCCTAACCTGTTCATTTGAGGGGGAAAAAATCAACTAGAAGAACATGTTTCCAAAATAAGCTTTGAATTCAGATGGCAAAGCATAGGTTTCATTACATCTGACTTGTCCTCCTAGTCTAAAGGGAGAAACATTTCTATGGAAACCATTAAGAAACCAGTGTTTGCAGATTATTTACCTCGATTTCCTAAGGGCAGGCAATCTAAGATGGTTTATAGCATATGGAGCTCAAAGGAGGTTATTCCTAGAAAACTGGAACAGATTTCATTTGTTAACTTGATCTAAACTTTAAAAAAGGGAACAATAGAAGCCTTTTAAAATTTGTACCTGCTTACAATGTGTCACTGGTTATTTTTGTTAGTATAGAAATACTTGGAGAATTCCCTATATATTCTAGAAAACGAAGAGTAAGACGTAGTTGAAAGTTCCTTGCGACACCATCTGTAGTGCTCACATTACAAGCTTCAAAATGTAATACTTTAAAACCTTGGTAATAAGTGTCCTTAAAGCTTCCTGATTTTAAGAGAAAAAGATGGAGCTTATTGCATCAAATAAGCTGTGTAGGATGCCAGTATTTGGGTGGTAGAGGATACTGGTATATTGTCCTGATTGGATGACTGCTACCCTATTTTTAAGATGCTTCGAAAAAGTATTCTAGAGGACCTTTTAAAAATCAGAACTCTAGCAACCGCTTATTTTCTACGTAAGATTTTCTGTGTACCCTAGAATATATATTAACATGACTTTTAAAGGGGTGTCTTGACCCCCATCCACTACAGATTTTTATCTAGGAATAGAAGGATTCAAACCCTATTTGATCCCTAGCTCTTTGCTGAAAAGTGCATAAACAGGAATCCTGAATTTATTATATAGACCTCCTCGCATTATATAATCGAAGCAAAGGGAAACCAGCGATGGAGTAGAGGTACGTAGACTAAAAAGATGCTTGCAAATCAAATGATGGTATTAGGTATAGTTAAAAATTTTGTGTTGCCAAACTCAGTCATTATAAATCACAAGTCCAGAGAAAAGCTTCTAGTTAATTTTAAATTCCCTGAGGTCCTTTTATTGTGATGGAAAAGCCAAGTAGTGGAGGAAAAAAAGGGGAGGGGTGAGGGAAGGGGGAAATGCATAGAGCTTTAGAAAGATTCAACAAAATACTATAGATAAAGCCGCAGAAAGTTTTTAAAACTACTAATGACTGCAATTCTATTTTAATCAGCTATTTAGCTGGTATCTACTGCTATATCACCTAGTGTGACGTTTTGGAATTAATGGAACAATGAAAGCAGCAGTACAGCTGGAGGCTCCCAAGTGGGCGTGGAAGGTAGGTTACTCTTCAGTCTATAATTTGGAAAGTATTTGGTTGAGGGAAACCTGGACTCTACCTGCTAGTGAACATTTATTTACTTAAAGGTTTTATTTGTCCATGAGAGGCAGAGGGAGAAGCAGGCTCCCTGCAGGGAGCCTGATGTGTGTGGGATTTGATCCCAGAACCCTGGGATCACGCTCTGAGCTGAAGGCAGAAGCTCAACTGAGCCACCCAGGCACCCCAGTGAACATTTAATAATACAATTTAACAAACATGCATTGACTGATGCTTGGGAATGTAAAGATTAAAACTGAGGAGTTCTTGATGAGAAACTTAAGACTTGAAGCATGAGTCCATGACCAGTGGAATGCCAACTAGTAGCAGGAGAACCTAAATGAGAAAGAAGGTGATTCTCCTCAGAGGTTAGTTGAGCAGAAGGGAATGGGAGAAGCCTCAGGAGGAAGGCATTCTAAGTGGAATGGAAAAGTTTGAGCAGAGGTGTGAGTTAGGGTCATGGGGGCTGGAGGTGTGCTGGAGAGGACATTGGACAGGGTTCACACAGTTGGAACTTGAACCTGGGAGGCAGAATGTAAAAAGATTGGGCTGGAGACCAGAAGTACAAGTGTTAAGATCTGTTTGGAGTTCACTAGCAATGGCCCAAGGACTTGGGAGGAGCATGTTACATGTAGCCCAGTAATCTGTTAGCGCATTTTGTAATCTTAATCGGGGAAGAAATACGAAGTACTAATAACCATGTAAACTTGCTAAATGGTATTTTAAGTTATCCAAGTAAGTATGTCACCACTTTGTTTTTATCCAGGTCTCCAATTTATGCATTCTGCTGTGAAAATGAACTAACCTTGTTATTGGTGAAGGCCTTGGAAATTTTTGCCAGCCAAGAGAGGTTTCTCTTACTCAGGGTAAGATGTAATCATAGTACGGGAGAGCTAGGCGGGAATTCAGTTAATCTAATCGCCCAATTTTATACTTTGCATCCATTTGTACACGGAAACGGACTACATAAGTGGCCTGCACAAACAGCTGGTCAGAGGTCAGGTTGGATGAGTCCTCTGACTGCCCCCTACTCATGCAGATACGGTGTTGCCCCTTAAAATAAGTGACTAGTCAGAGTAACAAACTGGATTCAATTCTGATTTGTATCAATAGAGTGGACAGATGTTCTTGGGAACTGACTTCCTTTCTAACAACCTTTCCTAATTAGTGTCCAAGATGATTAGCATCAATAATAAAAACACCTCAGGGCATGTGCTTGACAATGGCATTTGGTAAATCACAGAGCCTGTGTGTTCTGCCCCTCAAAAGGATGGCCACAGGAAAGGTGGGCATAGGAGGGAAAAAAATGCTCCCTCATGTGAACAGAACTGAGCACACCCCCCCCAATACTCCTTAACTAGGAACACCTGTAGTTTGTGATTTTTTTTGTATTTAAACGATTTTCTTAAAGTAATGTTGACATTAAAACAAAAGTATTTCATTGCTTTGGAAAGGGAGAGTTTTGTGTTTTTTTCCCCCTGAATGAATGCTATGGACTTGGGTGCCTTTTTTTTTTTTTTGCCTTTTATGATGGCAGTGGGTTGAATTATATAAATGACTTACTTTTATTAATGTGATAATATGTGTGTGATGTTGTGGGTTTTTTCCCCCCTTTGCATCAAAGTCTGGAAATATTTTTATGTGTGCCATGTGTAGTTATAAATTCCATCTAAAAAATTAAAACACTGTATACTTCTATAAATTGACAGCATTTAAAAACCATCTTTACTTTTGGGGAGATGACCTACCTATTGTAAGAAATGGAAGAACAGCGGCAAACAGTGCATACATTTTCTTTTCTTTTTTTTTTTAGTGCATACATTTTCAAAAATGGTTTGCAAAGTCAAAAAATCCTTAGTCTTTAGAAAAAGTCTTTAGAAACCAGGAAGCATTCCCTCACCTTTAAAAGGGTACGGTAATACAGTTGTGATTTTTGTTTTTAGGGACTCTGAAAATCCAACCGGGATGGTGTTTCTTGAAATGCCATTATTCCCACTCTTTTCTCCCATGTTAGGTTGCTAAATTTGGCAAGTCCACTGTGTGCTCTACCAGCAGTAAAGGGCCAGAGTTAAGTTTGTGGGTATGCATTCAAGTGTCCAAAAAAGGGAGACTACAACCAACACATCCTTTATTTACTTGATTGAAAGTAATGGTACATACGAGGCTTAATAGAGTTGCCCTCTACTTTATTCTGACTCCAGAGTTGTATTCCGATGCTTGAGACTTCTCAACTGCTGTTCTTGTCAGTGGTTGGTTTTCTTTCAGGATCAAGGTGGGTACTTTCGTACAAAATCTTATTTTTAATTCCATCTCTGGCAATTCTTTCCTGGATTCTTAGCTTTGCATAATTATACCTACAGTGGAACCTTAAAAGAACATGAATGAGTCATTTTTAATAAAAGTTCTTCTAGAAACAAGTTTGAAATTTATAGTAATAAAATTTAAGATGTTTGCGTAGATCTTCCCTTCTAAGATGGAAAATACAACTGGAAAATACAACCATTTTAATTTGGAGTGCTATTTGGGGTGGTTCAGTGTCAAATAATACCTATAAACACATTATTAAGGTAGGTTTTACATAAATGAGGCTTTTTATCATGTTTAAGCTTAGTTTTACTTATAGAACCTCACCAAATGGAACCTTACATAGACTGTACTCTTTGGGCCTGGCTTTTGGGGGCGGGGGTCGGGCTCAAAACATGAAATTCATGCAATGTGTTTTGTTAGCAGTTGTGAACACATTCTTAAAGTAGCATTTTCGAATGTGCCATGAGCAAGAAATGAGCTTCAAGCTAATGTTAAGCAGAAAAAAAGGTTGAGGCCTTCCTAAATGAATATCAAACATTTATCTGGTCATTTGACAAACGGCATACAACGTGTCTCCGTAGATAAACTTAAAGGCACCCTAGCAGTATTCCATTAAAAATTAAAAACTAAAAACAAAAAACAAAAAAACCTTCCCCACTGAGGGGGGTGGTGGGAGTCTTCTGGAAAGAAGAGCATGTGCTCGAAATAGCTAAATCTATCCTGATCCTGGATCTTCTTGAATTACTTAGTACACATACCAGCATCCTAAAGTCACCAAGATAAATCCTCCTACTCCAACGTCACATGATCTTCTAATCCTACCTGTCAAAAAGCACAATCACTGTAATTAAGTTACACACTGCCATTATCAGTCCATTTAGAAAATGTTTGCCATACATAAAAGAAAAAGATACTCACTAGTTAGCAAAAAATGTCCAAGGCCAGCCACAACCGATCCTAACGAACCATACAATACCGAATCCCGTGCACAGGGAATGTTTTCAACATCTAAAATTCCTAGGAGCTTAAAGGGCTAGGATAAAATAGAAAAGAACCTGGATTGAACAAGGAAATATATTATTTCAGGGTAGTTTGGTTTGGGCAAAATTAAGCCAAGAGTATGTGCTCTGTGACAGCTGTGAATCTTGTTTACCATCTTTGGTCATCAGCTTTGGCCTGCAATCTGAATCTTTAAATGGGAAACCTTGACACTGACCAGAAAACTCTTTAACAAGCAGAACAGCTTACACCTAAACCAATTAAATTATGGTATTAGTGCCATAGTTTACTAACTGGTTTGGAAATAACATCCCGTTACTTTTACAAGCTCTTTAGGCGTTTGTATGAGATGATCTGGAAACCAGATTAAAAAGCTAATTTGGGAAGCATAAAATGGGAAAAAGTAAAATTATTCTAACCATGTTTGCTTTATAACTATGTTCCAAATTGAAAAAGGACTACAGATTTTATTTGTATTAAAGATGTGTGCAATATATCTCCTGTTTCCTTGCCTGTGATAAGAAATTGCTGCACTTGACTGTATTTCTTTGTTGAAAGGACATAATGACCACACTTAGGGGACAGTAGGTGTGATGGGAAAAGCTGAAAATTCATAGGGTTTTGTCTTGGCTCTGCCACTTACTGCTATCACCTGTAGTATATATGTATTTTTTAATCTCTGTGGCCCTCCATCTGTAATAAAGGCATTGGTTAGGTGATAATTGAAATTCCTTCAAGTGCTAAAATCAATGAATTTTACACTCTGCAGTCTTCATTGGATTTATGGACATGGTCTTGATCCTGATTAAAAAGATACTGCCAGCTTAAGCTTCATGTCTTAACGTAAATGTCAAATGGAACTGTTTTAGGGGTTTGGAAGGGCAGGACACAGGTTTTTAAAGTCGTAACTTGTTTCACTGGCATTACTATTAAGGATTTTTTTTTAGAAAACTTAATGAGACGGTTTCCTAGAACTTGCTTAAAAGCAAGTTGTCAGCAGTGTAGCTTTTAAAAAAAACCAACTTGTCCATTTAAAGGTTTGTATGAAGCAGGACTTTAAGCCAAACACCTAAAAGGTAGTGTGAAGGGGAAAAAGACTGGAAGAGATGAAGAAAGGACCATAAAACACCAAGTCAAGATTACAGGCTGAATTATGGTGTTCTTGATTATATTTTTTCCTGTTTGCTTCTTTGGCTCAAACTGCTGCCAGAAAAGAGTGTGATTTGGTTTGTAATAAAGCAAAAACTATTTTCCTGATTATTCCTTTTTTAAAAAAACTTTGTCCTTGTCCTTCCCCCACCCCCAGACATACCAGGTGCTCATTATTATAGTTGTAGACTTTCTTAGAGATTGGGGGATTTAATTCTGCTTCTAGGCTTTTCATTTCATTCAGAAAAAGGCAAGAAATGTTGTGGAAACACAGTCCTGGTGGGTGGGAGGGTGAGCCACTCCACAGGCCATCTGGCATTCTGTTAAGACTTGACATTTCATGGGATCCCTGGGTGGCACAGCGGTTTGGCGCCTGCCTTTGGCCCAGGGCGCGATCCTGGAGACCCGGGATCAAATCCCACGTCGGGCTCCCTGTGCATGGAGCCTGCTTCTTCCTCTGCCTGTGTCTCTGCCTCTCTCTCTCTCTGTATGACTATCATAAATAAATAATTAAAAATTTAAAAAAAAGACTTGACATTTCAGCTGAGGGCTAAATGCCCCACCTTACCACCCTGTCTTCCTAGGGGAGGACCAGAGGTAGTGATTAGTGCCCACTTTAGGCCTTAAGATGCAAGTGAGCCTGACACCTCATGAACCCCAGGATAGGAAGTCCTGGTGGCTTTCGTTTGGGCAGAGGGTTCTAAGTAGGTTGGCTGCCACACACCCCGCACCATGTGGGTCTCCTTCCATAGAGTCCTCTTCAGTTACTTGAGGATACACCTGAATCTGCAAGCAATATCTTACTGGGGCACTTGGACAAAATGCTTCAAGAAGTATCACAGTTGCCAAATACTGAAATACAGCGCTGCTTAAGTCAACTAGGAGACTAGAGGTTTTCAAGTTTGCCCCCTCAGATCGACTCCGGTCTGCGATCAGCCATGGGATCGAAGTTCAGGAAATGTGAAGGCTTCCTCTGACCTCCAACCTCCTCCCCCTCCAAAGAATCCACCCGAGGGGAAACCGCTTTTAGATACTGTTTAGAAACAGATTAAGTGTTTTGGGGAATGGCTCAGTCAGCCAAGCCTCTATTTTTGGTTGGGGGTCATGATCTCGAGGTTGTGTGATTGAGCCATGCGGCTCTGCTTAGTGTGGAGTCTGCTTGCCATTCCCCTCCCAGGGCTCTCAAAAATCTTTTAAAATCATCAGTTTCTTTTGGGGCGCCTTCATTGGCACATTCGGTTAAGGGTCTCGGGTCAGGACCCTGCAGCAAGTCTGCTTAGCAGCCTCTCCCTCTGCCACTCCCCCTCCTATCTCAAATCTTAGAAAAAATAATCAGCTTGTTTAAAAAGACGCCTTAACAGAAGTTACATGTTTTTCAAAATGGAACCTTTTAAAACCCAACATGTGGATACAGGCCAAGGATGTTGCTGCCAAACATTCTCCAGTAAATTTATCGGCACCACACCCAATAAAAACTAGTCTCGTGTCGGTAGTGGTGAGATTAAGATACCAACGCTGGCCTCATTAACCGATGTCATAATGTAGAGCTGGTGCTGGGCTGTTCGTGCCAGGCCCCTTACATCCCTGTTCACCTCTCACCCCCTCTCCTGAGCCTGGCTGTTTTGAGCTGGCAGGCAGGAAGGGGAAGTTGGCCAGACCCCCAAAGCCTGTCCTTTCCACTGTCATTTAACCCTTTGGTTCATAAATGAGAAAACCGAAGCTTGGGAAGGAGACTTTTCCCAGAGGTCACATCTGGGAGGTAACAGGACTAAGTACATAACCGTGTATCTGCAATTTGTATCCAAACTGGGTAGGAACACACAGACTGATTTTAAGAGCACACTAGGCCTCCCTACTGCTATTAATGGAGAATTTTCAGCCTTGGTTAAGTCCCTTCGAAGTAGTTCTACTTAGGACGTACAGGCTTTTCACATTTTTATTCCCTACGGAGTCTGCAACTTTAAGGTTTAACTTTTGCTTTCAAAAACTTAAGCCCTTAAAATAAGAACATTTTAGACTTCGTAGAAGTCTTAAAAATTTTAAGATTTTTTTTCCCTCAACGTAATAAGCTACACCCAACATGGGGCTCAAATTCATGACCCCAAGGCCAAGTATCCTGGCTCTGCCAACTCAACCAGTCAGATGCCCCATGAAATTTTTAAGCTTAGATTTAGAAAAGCAGCTTTTCCAGCTCACCTTGATGGAACTAAGGGATGGTCAGAAGAGATTTCTAAGCTGGGCTGCCAGTTTAAAGAAACATTGAGTTAGAGCCACCTCCCCTCCCACTGCCAAACGTCCCTGCACCAGTGCCCTTTCCTTTCCTCTCGCTGCCTAAGGGGAACCGGCCCCTTCCTATTTAAACCCAGTCCTAACTGCAGTTAATTCCGCTCTTCACCACTGAAGGAGTTTGCTTCTAGTTACCCCTTCCTCATTTGCACCATTCTTCTCTCTGTAGTCTAAACAACCCCATCTCTCTTGACAACCCCCCCCCAGCCTCCTAAGTTATCCCATTTTTCTGCTCCCTTTCACTGCAAAACTAAAGTAATCTATGTGTTGCAAGCCTCTCCTCCCTTTAATTCCTTCAAAAAGGCATTTATCCCTACACTCCACCGGTGCAGCTTGGTTGAGACAGACTGTAAAATCTACCACTCTCCATCAGCACATGTGGCAAACATCATTTGTTTCTGAAACATTTTCTTTCCTTGGCTCAAAGGGTTGGTCAAGGCCGCCTGGTTTTCCACTATTTTCTGGCAGTTTTGTTGCCGTTCCCCCCTCTGATGACCTCTCAGGTTGAAGAACTGCCCCTGCCCACTCTGAAATGTAGGGCTTTCAATTAAATGCCATTCCCAGGATGACAGACTCCCAAATTTGCAAATCACACCTAACCTCTCCCAAGTTTTTGTCTCCTAATTCATCAACACCTTTTGTATGCAAAAGCATCCTGAGTTTAGTATTTCAGAATTATTTTTTAGGCATCACTACTGAACCAATCTGCAGACCAAAAACCTTGATTCCTTCATCAAACCCGTATCCACTGCATCAGCAAGTCCAGGATGTACATGAGCCAAATCATCCTGAACTTAAAAGGCTTCTCACCTCCACTGCTGTTACTCCCAGGCTACCATCATCTCTCACAGGATCTTAAAGCTCTTGATTTCACTCAGATGATTAGATCATTGTTCTCTGCAGCACACACACACTGCTTTTCTCTTGGATCTCTGCATGGTTGTTTCAGTAAATGAAATTCTGATTTCCTTTTTGTTTGATTCCTGCAGTAGAATGTGAGTTCCACAAGGAATATTTTGCCTGTTTTGATCAAGGCTGTGTCCTAAGCTCTTAGTTTAAGGCCTCGTACTCAGTTGGTCCTCTATTGAATCAACCTGTAGCACTCTCTTTCCTAGTAGGCACCTACTAAATTCCATATTTTCAAGTTTCCTGGAGTACAAAGAATGGGAGCAGAGTATTTAAGGGTTCTATCAGTTTGGTAACTTCCGTTTTTACCTTAGGTTTTGCTGATGCTAATAATCCCTGGATTGCACTGCAATGACCACTGAAAGATTCTTTAAAAAACTGCACGCTTCCTTTTTTCATGTTACCCTGGGCTCCTAATTCAAAGCTTGTTATCTAAATTTTTTAATCTCCTTGGTGAGCTTTGATACTAGTAATTCGTGAACAATGTTTATCAGACTTTTTTTAAGCCCCTGCCACACAAATCTGATGGCGCTCAGGTTTAGGGCTTGTACCTATGCACTTCACCAACTATAGTATTTTGTTTTACTAATGATGGACCAATTAAACAGGTCAGTATTATCCTTTCATTCAATTTTTTAAAGGGCTAACTCATACTTAATGAGCCTTAAATGTTGGCAGTTATCTCCTATGAAAGGGGACATTCAGAGACGAGAGGGGTCCCAGTATTTATGTAGTTGGGGTGCCTTTTGGGTAAACTTGGTTACAGTAAGCATCTTCCAAATAGTAGGTGAGGCATTAAAAACAAAAGGGACCAAACATGTCGAAACTGACAAAACGTGTTTTGATATTAAATCTGGAAATCGCTTATCTATCATCTACTCATATTAACCATTTGATCTTGGCCAAAGCTACATGGGAAAGTTCCAGAAAAGCAGAAACTTGGGAGTAGAAACCTTTCCGAGCCGAAGAGGGCACATCCTAAATCTGGGGACGAGGAGCCTTCGGGCAGCGGGGGTGGGGTGGGGGGTGTCTCATCACCGAGCCAGTGGTAACCTCTCTCTGAGCTTACTACTGAAAAATGGTTTTCTTCTGTTTTCTGAACATCTGCTGTCGGTCAAGCACCGAGGACGTGCACGGGGTCCCTGCAGGAGCTCGAGGCGGACGGAAACGAGACCTGCTGGAGATGCGGCGGGGAGGGGGGCCCGAGGGACAGGACGAGGGTCGCACGCTGGCGGGGTCGGCCCGGCCAAGGCATCCTCGCCGCACGCGGAGGCGAAACCGGGCGGTTCACAGGGTAGCGCACGCGGAAGGGAGACGCCGAGCCCTCCCGCCGCCCCCCGCCCGGGCCCGCGTCCCCCGGGGCACAGCCCCGCTTCCAGGGCTCGCAGCAGTCGCGGGGCCCCCGCGGAGTGCTGACCGCGACCGGCCCTGGGGGCCCGGGAGACGCGCCCCGCCGCCCCTTTCTTTACCTTCCCCTTGGTGGGCTCGCCGGGCTCCGGCGTGGCGGCCATGGCTTCCGGTGGGCGCCTGCGGCCCCGCCCCGTCCGCGCCGCGAGCGGAAGCCCCGCCAGCCGCGCCAGCCCCGCCCCCGCGCGCCCGCCGCCATTTTAGGGAAGCTTTCTGCGTCTCCGCAGTGGCCGTGCCGAGCCGTCGCCTGAGCTGGGGGGCCGTCTCCTTTGTTTAAACCAACTGGTGACGCCTTCCCCCCAGGGGGCTCTCCGCAGCCCAAGGGGGTTGGGGCCGAGAGAGGAGGGCGGCTCGAGAGACGCCCCTGCACCAGGATCCTCGGCGGGTCCGCCCTGGCGCCTCGAGCCCGCGCCGCTTCCCGCCCCAGCCCCCTCCTCCTGCCCCGGCCGCCATTTCTAACCGTCGACCGCGGGCGCGCGCCTGCGTGCCTGAGCGTCGGGTGCGCGCGCGGGGCGGGGCCGGGGCAGCGGGCGCGCCGCCGCCGCTTTGTCTTGCGCGCGTGCCCCGCGGCCGGGTCGGCGGCCCAGCCCGCCCTCAGCCCCGGCCCGCCATCCCGGAAGCCGGCCTGTGCTCGCTCGCAGCCCGCGTCCCCTGCACGTCCTTTGTCCTTCCGGCCCCAGGACGCGCTGTGGGTGCTCCCGGCGGCTCCTCCCCGCGCCGGCAGCCGTGGAGCCCCAAGCGCCCGCCCCGCCGCCCCCCTCTGTCGCACGACGTAGTGGCTCCCAAAGAGCGCCGCCCGGCTCGCCCGAAGGAGACTGGGGACAAAATGGCGGGCGCGCCCGTGGGCGGACGTGCGTCAGGGCGCCCGGGCCGAGCGAGGCTCCGGGGCGGAAGAGGCCGGGCGGTGGCCCTGCCTGTGCGGTCCGGGCGCCCTCCGGTGAGGGCCCCGCCGCGGCCGCCGCCCGCCCCCTGCTTCAGCGTCCTGCCCCCGGGGCGCGGCGGGCCGCTCCCCCGACCCACCCCGGGCCCGCAGCCGCGAGCTCTCGGTCTGGAAGGTCTTGTGCCATGGAGGACGGAGGAATCCCGTTGTTCTGTGGAAAAGTACCAGGGGAAACCCAGAAATCCTGTTTTGTTGTTTGTTGTTTTGTTTTGTTTTTACTGCGACTTTGAAAATCGTAAACTATTTTGTCAAACTTGTAAAGTCCTATTGTTTTTGGGAAGTATTTTTATGTTACTTCTTTGCATTAAAATTTTTCACAAACATTTTTTTTTTCACAAAATAAGACGTCATTTTCACAAAAACTGCGTAATACTCATGCATGTTGGCTTTTTTTCTTCACTTTACAGAGAGAGGGTGAAAAGTAAAAAAAAACAACAACAAACTTTTCCGCCCTCAGCCCCGCCCGCCTCTCCTAAGGTGAACTCACCAGTTGTGTCTGTGTCTGTGTCTGTGTCCACAGCGATCTTCTCTCTCCTTTGCTCCTTGACGGAAACGACGCCGGGGGTTAGGAGCAAAGTCTCCACAGCGTCCTCCGGCTCCGCACGCGGTACGCACACATCCCGCGCCAAGGTCTGCAGTCACTACTTGAACCATTTCACGCTCTTGGAAATTTTTTCATGGAAGTACCTTTAGATTTTTCTCATTCATTTTAAAGACCACTCATCAGTCCTTCAAACCTCGTCTTCTGACTGACTGACCGGAAATTTCCGTTTGCTTTTTTTCCCCCCACTAACCCCCCCCGCCCCCCGCCCCGCCCCCCGCCCCGCCCCCAAATGCTTCAGCAGCATCCTTACACTTCTATCTTGGTGCACGTGTTCAAATTTTTCTGGACCGGCCTGGATGGATTTCTGGAAGTGGCCTGATCTGAGGGGCTATGCATATTTAAAACATTGAATCCCTACTGCTAAACTATCCTCCAGAAATGGTACCAATTTACGTTCCCAGGAACTATGTGTGAGAGTGCCTGTTTCCCCAACCTTTTTAACACCGCTTGTACGGGTTGAAATTTCTGCTGATCGGATGGGTGAAGAGTGGGGTCTGACTGCTTTAAACTTGCTGATAGCCAGTCTGAGCGTTCTTTCAAATGTTGACTGGTCATTCTTTTCCCAAGAATTTGTTTGTATATCGGTTCTGTGCATTAAAAATTTTGGTTGTGTGTGTGATTTTATTAGTTTATAGCAGCTCTTTACAGTTTTGGCTTTTCACTCCGAACAGTCGTTTCTACTTCACTTGGTTCTTGATTTCGTTTATGGACACTTCCTTTTTAATCTTAAAAAAATGGAGTCTAACCTGTCCATTTTTTAATGACTTTGATCATGGGTATTGCTTATAAGCCTTCTTGACTCTCATAATTTAAAAATGCTGCCATTTTGAAAATTGTCTTCATATGCTCCCTTTCTCAGTAATAACTTTCTCTTATTTCTTGAAAGGCCAACTTTTAGCATTATTGACCCAAGTTTATTTTATTCATTTTATTTTTTATTTTACATTTTTTCTTTTTACCTGGTATCTTGTTTTTTGAAATTTTTGTTTTGTTATCCTTTTTCTAGCTTTTGAATTGACTCCTTAGTTCACTTATATTCCACCTTTCCTCGTTTCTAATGAATGTATTTAAAGTTACAAAATTTCCTCTGAGAATTGTTTTATCCCATGTTATGTCATAGATTTTGACCGGCAATGTTCCTATTACCTTTTTTCTCAACATTTTAATAGTTTCAGCTTTTTTTCCCAAGTAAGTGTGGATATGATCTTGGGATTAATTTTTAGTGCTTTGGTTTTGTTTTACACTGTGGCACATGTATTTCTACTTTTTGTAATTTACTGATTTCTGTGTCCCTAAGAGATCGTTTTGTGTATATCCCATAGGTATTTGAAAATAATGTGCATTCCCTGTAATAGCACTAAATTAAGGATATTAATTATAACAGTATAATGGATATGTTATAAACGTATATGTAAATATAAACTAATAGCATACAATTAAGCTTATTCATTTTTTTTGTACGGTAAGGGCATTTTCACTGCAAGCAACAGACTCTAATTAACTTAAACAAGAAATGTACTAGGAAGATGTGGAGAAACTCGCTTTTGATAAAAAGTTGAAGAGCCATGTCTTGAAAAGAATAGCATCCAGGACGGTTATTGCGGTCTCAAGGGCAAGAAGTAAAGGAGTGACTCTTCAGGGTAACAGTGACAGCAAGGAATGATACTTGACCTGTTCAATCTTATTCCCACCATGGTGCTTTGCTTTTTTAACCATGCTGTCTGTTGTAAGACTCCCTGTTTGTTTGGCAGTGGATGTAGTACTCTGAATGAGGTGGTGCTTTAGCATAGTGGATAGAGTGAGACCCAAAAAACTACCTGTTCCTTCTCTCATGGTAGCTATAAATCCTCTGGCTCACTGCCCAGAGTTTGTGCTCTCATTTTCTCTTGTGGGAGAGAGCATCTGTATCACTAATCCCATCCTAGAGAGCTACAGTCATTTGCTGGCAACATGATGGTGGGAGGGAAATGGGAATGTCATTTTAGGGGTTTGGCAGGGCTGTGCTGGCAAAACTCGCTTTTCGAAGTTCTCTCTTAGACAATTTAGCTCTCTTTTCTACCCCCTTCCCTGCATCCTCTCAACATGGGTGCATCACATTTTAACCATGTTAAACCAGGATTCAGTGTGGACATTGTCATGACAATGTAAATGTTTGTAGCTGAGCCGTGTAGAGTACTAGGATTCCATTTCTTTTCTTGTAAAACTTTTTATTTTTTTGGAGTTGATAATTGCTTTATTTGTTTATTTGCTTAATTTTATTGGAGCTAGGTCTGACTGGCTCTTTTTTGCATAAGAAATCTGAATTTCATCATATAATACTTGGTTCTTGAGACAAATATTATATGCTCATTTCTTTTTCGTAATGGCTTTTAGGAGCTGATTGTGGGCATCTCTTGTCAACTTTTCAGTGACTTCATGTTGATAGCTTAAAATCAGCTGTAATGGAATTATTTATGCCACGGAAATCAACAAATGCTGCAAATCAGGGCTTTTTTCTCTTCAGAGAAGTGGCTTACCAATACATCACTGAATGCACCCATCACTACCTTTTCTCTCAGAATTTTCCTACGGAGTGAAAAAATTCCTACAGTGTAGTCAAACACATTATATAATCCTCCTGTCAGGATTTTTTTTTTTTCTTTGAAGACACCTCTTCTGGAGCTTTACTCTTTGTGATCCAGTTCAGAATGCTTCCTTTATCAGACTGATTCCCAGCCATCATCCTGAAGACTCTCATCACTTCTTGCCTGTGCTTGATCACCTGCTTCCTCAATTCCTCATCTTCCTCTTTGTCGGCTTACTCACTCATTTTGGAGGACGATATCCTCTAGTGACTTCCTGGAAAAAGGTTGCCTAGAAGATAAACATTTGGGGATCATCCTGCCCCCAAATATTTTTTTCTCCTGTCAGTTTTGATACTTGGATAAAGTTGCATTTCTAGAATTATTCTCCCACTAGAATCATTATCTTTCCTGCAAATAAAGCAATCTCCTACATAATCATAACACCATTATCACACCCAAGCAAAATAAGCAATAATTCCATAATTTATCTAGAATGTAGCACATACTTAAAGTTCCCCGGTTGTTTGGAGAAGTTTTCCCCAATTGTCCATGCTTTTGTTTTTGTTTTCTTTTTTTTTAATTTTTTTAAATTTTTTAATTTTTATTATTTATGATAGAGAGAGGCAGAGACACAGGCAGAGGGAGAAGCAGGCTCCATGCACCGGGAGCCCGATGTGGGATTCGATCCCGGGTCTCCAGGATCACGCCCTGGGCCAAAGGCAGGCGCTAAACCGCTGCGCCACCCAGGGATCCCTTGTTTTTGTTTTCAAACAAACATCCAGTACTGCATTTGATTGTTATATATCTTTTGTCTTTGTCTAGGATAGTCTCTCCATCTTATTTTTTCTTATGACATTGAATTTTTGGAAACTCTAATAGATTGTTTTGCAGAATGTCCCACATTCTGGATTATCTCTTGGTATCATTTAACTTGTCTGTTTACTATCCTCTTTATTTTCTATAAACTGGAAGTGGAGTCTAGGGTTGCACCATCCAGTATGGTGGCTGCTAACTTGATGTGGCTATTGTATACTTGAA